CCTCCTTCTTCCAGGAGGGTGAGGGGACTGCAAGGAGACCGATGGAAGGAAGTGGGGGTGGAAAAGAAAAGGGGAAGAGAAAGGATGTAAGGGGAGAACAGATAAGAGAAAAAGAAGAGAAACAAGAAGGAAAAGGTTAGCCCCTTCCTAAAGCTACTCCTCAGTTCCTTTTTACCCACTTCAGAACTGCTTTTCAAATTTCCATCCTCCCCATGGATCAGTCCTTCCAGATCAGCTCTGCCCCAGGAGTTGCAACCAGTCTTTAGGAAAGGGAGGAACCCTTACACATCCACACCCCAGCTGCTGGGTGGGGAAGAGCCCAGATACAAAGGAATTGCCTGTAGCCGCTAGCAAGTTCACAATGGGAAGGGAGGTTACTGTTACTTTACAGGAGAAATATTTCATTCATTTTCCACTGAAATTACTACATGCAACTCTTAGGTCCTGAGTACTATTAATGCTATAATTTAGGGCCATTATGAGTTAAATAAAACTTAAAGGGCTAGTCTGAGAACAAAAGGCACTATGTATAAAATTGTTATAGGGAAATAAACTATTAATTCCCAATAAACTTGTTATAAATTTTTATAATACATTTCATAAATGGGATGCCAATTCAACACTGTAACTTTTTGAAATCAAAATAAATGTAAGTAAGTGCGCATCAATTTGAGAACACTCATACATACACACAGTTACATATACCATCACTACAAGTTGCAACAGATTGGTGAAGAACAGGCCAACTGTGGCTGTATCAGAAAACCTTAGATAAATAAAGGACTAAGGAGTTAGATTTTTGACCTAGGGTAGAAAAGAATGAAAAGATTCTGAGGAGAATGCTTCATAAACATGCCCCCTTACATAAAAAGGGGGGTGGGCAGGAGACAGCTAGTTTCTAGAGGGAATAAGAGCAGGTAGGAGTCTAATGCAATGTTTGGGGTGAAAAGTAATTATGGGCTGTAAATAATCTTAGATTGAAAAAACAACAACAAAAAATTAGAACCCTTTTAGGTAAACTGATCCACAGATTCAAATGAGATTTAGTAACTGCTAAATGCATAAAGAGCTACTGTTCAATGTGCTATTAGACCATACTTTACCTGTGCATCTGACTGTGTCATCTGCTCAGCTAACTGTAAACAAGAATGGAAGGAAAAAAGAATGTCTTCACACAAGCTGGTGATTATATCTCTGTGTTTCAGCTGACTCTTTATAACCGACTGGTGCTTAAGGCTCTGCCTAAATGAATAAAAAGAATACAATCACAAGTAACACATCAAGTAACACAGGACCATAAAAATATGACTTGAAATAACATGTAAAAATCACAATGCATCATATATATTAGACATGACATAATTAAGACATGCTGATGTCACCTCTGAAGCTGTCATGTTAGCTTAGTAAGTGACTAACTTTTTACTTCTCCTTATAAAATATTAATTGAACTCTTACTAACGTTCCAGGTATTCTGCTAGGCCCTAGGGATGGAGAAGTGAAAGAAGTCACTCTCTGCTTTGTCTGCATGGAACTTCTGGTCTAGTACAAGAGAGAACATTAAATAATTTTAAGAATAATTAATTACAGTTGTAATAAATGCTAAGCTAGAAAACTCCAGGATGCTACAGCAGAGAGATCTAAAATAACTTATTCTCAGGGTAAGAATATCAAAGAACACTATCATGAGGATGTAACACTTAAGCTGAGAACTGAAAGATAAGCAGGAGTCAGCAAGGTATAGAATATGGAGAGGGGCATCCCAGGCAGAGGGAAAGAGTGGTGAGAAGGCCCTGGGATAGGAGAGTCTGAGGAACTAAGAGCAGGGAGAGAGCAGCAGGGATGGGCTGGTGAAGAAGGCAGAGGCCAGAGAGGATTAGGCTGTAACTCTTAGTAAAATGGGATGGATTTTAAGCAGAGTGACATGCTCTAATTGACATTTTCAAAAGATCAGACTGAACACTGACTAGCAAATGAATTGGAAGAGGACAAGAACAGAACACATTCAATGGTAATGATGGTGATGTGGTAATTCACTGGGCACTCACATGCCATGCAGAGTTCTTAGCATTTCATATCGATAAACTCAATTAATTCTCACTATAAACCCACCAAGAGACATGTGGGTGGCTCAGTTGGTTAAGAGTCTGCCTTTGGCTCAGGTCATGATCTCGGGGTCCTGGGATTGAGTCCTGCATTGGGCTCCCTGCTCAGTGGGGAATCTGCTTCTCCCTCTCTCTCTGCCCCTTCCCCCTGCTTGTGCTCTCTCTCTCTCTCAAATAAATAAAATCTTTTAAAAAAAATAAATAAAATAAACCCACCTAGAAAGTGCCATTTTAATTACTCCCATTTTTGGATAAGCAAATTAAGGTTCAGAGAAAATAACCAAATTTCCCAAGTGTTCAGGAAGAGTAAATGATTTCAAAATGGATTCAAGCACATGCAGAATGGCTCTGGGTTAACACTTTTAACCACTGCACTATTACTTGTTGACAAGTTAATGATCTCCTGGTGATGCAAGAAAAGCACCTAAGACCTAAAAATATTACATTGACCTTTAATTTTTATGCATGTATATAAAGTAGAGGTTCTTAGCCATTTTTACATCTCAAATCTACCTCTTCCCACCCCCAGGAATCTGATGAGCACTATGGGCACTCTCCCTGGCAAACTTTCATAATGCTCTAGCTAAAATTACTTTATAAATGGAATTAAACTTGAACAACTCAAAGGCATATAATAAAGGGATTATATTCAGCTCTAATTATAACTATTAATTTCTCTAAGCCTGGAAATAAACACCTGATGGGTTAAATAACAGTAGTAGTAGGCAAGTGGTTAAGGCCCATGGCCCATTATTTCAAAAGTACTAGTGGGAGGCAAACCGTAAGAGACTAATTCTAGGGAACAAACTGAGGGCTGCTGGAGGCGAGGTGGGTAGGGGATGGGCTAAATGGGTGATGGGCATTAAGGAGGGCACTTGTTACGAGCACTGGGCATCATGCAAGTGATGAATCACTAAATTCTACCCCTGAAATGAATAATACACTGTATGTTAACTGACCTGAATTTAAATATCTTGAAAAAGAAAAAAAAGTATTAGTAACAAAGTAGAGCTTCTTTTTTAAATTTTAGAAGCAGCAGAGTAAAGAAGTCCAATTTGGTTTGGGAGCTACATGTACAATATCTGGATTAATCAGACAGCAGTGTGAGCAAACATTTATACACACCCATACAAAATGTTTTAAATGCAATCTAAAAAACTTATGAATAATTTAGATTTTGGATATGGAAAATATATTACAAAAAGTAAAAAAGCAAAGGAAAAAAACTTACTTAATTATAAATTTCCAAGTATTGGCATGAAACGCATGGTCCATACTGGAAATAACAGAGCAGATATCCAACAATGAATGAATAACTACAAAAAAAGATAACAGAACTCTTAGGACATTCAAATGTCATATGGGGTGAGTTTCTCCTATATTTAAAACTATCTACTGATCAATTCTGACATTTATTAAAATAGGTAATGCAGTTAGAAAAAAACTTTTCAAAATAATTTTTAAAAATAAGTGTCATACTTTTGATTTATGGTTTTTACAAATTACAGAAAATTAATTTTTGATGTTTACACCTACCTAAATAAAACTAAATGACCTAAGTAAACTAAAATGTTCAGTAGAATAAAAGTTGTACCCTATTATAACTGAAATATTCTATAGATATTCTAATCCAAAATGACAAAATAAGCGGCAAAGGAAAAGAATACCAAACAAGGAAGAATTAAAGCAAATTGGCACAGTATTTATGAAAGGCTTCTACTCTTTCATTTTATTTGTAAAAATGGCCAATGACTTCCCTTTCTGTGTCCACAATCCTGGGCAGTTCCCTTCCACACTGATCTGGGGCTTAGTTATATGATTTGCATTGGTCAACAGGATAATAATAACTATAAGGCCAGCAAAGACTTAAAAAGTGCTTGCACAGGGCGCCTCGGTGGCTCAGTCGCTTAAGCGACTGCCTTCAGCTCAGGTCACGATCCCAGGGTCCTGGGATCGAATCCCACATCAGGCTCCCCGCTCTGCGGGGAGCCTGCTTCTCCTTCTCCCACTCCCCCTGCTTGTGTTCCCTCTCTCGCTGTCTCTCTCTCTGTCAAATAAATAAATAAAATCTTTAAAAAAAAAAAAAAGTGCTTGCACACTGGGGCTTGTCCTGTCCTGATGATGACCCTGAGGCCGTCATCAGGTGACCGAGCCCGGGCTAGCCTCCTGGATGATGTGCCACACGTGGCCAGCTCAGTGCTTCTGCCTCTGCCAACAGCCAGATGTGATGAGGTCACTGACTGCAAAAACACGAGTGAACAAGCAGTTGTACCATGGGGAGCAGAGAAAGCTGTCCCAGCTAAGCCCAGCCTAAACTGCTGACTCACAGAATCGTGAATAAATAAAGAAGTAGGTGTTTTAACCTGATAGATTTTGGGGTGGTTTTTACAGAGCAAGAGGTACCTGATATACTGCACAAAGCAAACTTAACTCTTTATACAGAAACTATAAATGAAATTTTTGTCCTTATACATTACTGTTTTTCAAACTCTGGGTTATAATGCATTGGTGAGTGATAAAATTATGAAGTAGCAATCAGCAATTCTTTAAAAATGAAACAATATAATGGAATACATTACATATAAAACAGGTATTATTTTACATATAATAAATAAATGTATATATTACATAATAAATAAATACATACACGTTCATGAACATATACATATGCAACTATATGTGCTCTGGAAAGAAATGCAAACTTCGTTTCTTACTGAATTATGGTTTAAAAACTCTGAAAGCTACTGCCTCAGAATCTGGACTACTTTAGAAGGTATAAAGTTGCATGACTTTTTTGTTAATCACTGTGGAAAAATCATGTATGGTGAACTTTAACTGAATGTACAAATCTATGTTAAGGCATCACATATCAATTTTATAAATTCTAAAATTTAGAAGATTAAAAATTTATCAGGTAGGATTTAAATTTTTTTATACATAATGAGTGAGTAAAATACCATGAAGCGTTAGAAACAATGTTGGGTTCAATAATTTAATGGATATACAGTTTAGTCAACATATGTCACATACTAAATAGGAAGTTTTCTCACTTACCTATTACCATATTCAAAATATCATCATTTTCATCTACTAAAGGGTCCATGCAAACCATATCCAGTAATTCCATTAGCTGCTTTTGAAGAGAATAGGCCTCCTTGAAAAGAGCCTGGAGAAGGTCTGAAACTAGGTGTAAATGCCCAGAATAGACAGATTCACTATCCTGATCACAAATAAAAATGAGAGAAATAGCACATCATAAAGATCAAGAGCCAAATTTACTTTAACTCATTCCATCAAAGCTCATAACTTCAGTGCTTTCTACTGAATCACACATTTACTCATTAAACAAATGTTTAGTGACCATCCATTATATATAGTGTACTTCAAGAGATGCAGGCATGTATAAAGCATGATCCCTGACTTCCGAGACTTGCAAATATAGAACTAAAAGGGAGATACATAAGGTTTGGTCAGGTACATGACTTTTAGCACCCTATCACCAAAGAGAAGCATTAGTTAAACCAGTGATTTTATTCACCCAATGAATACCAGTACCAAAACTCCCTGTGACCCACAATTCCTAGGCCAGCTTTTATGGTTTAAAGCTGCCTCAGGAATGTAGAGATGGACTACAAAAGGGCTGGTGTCCTTTTATAGGCACCTAATCATTAAGGAATTCATCTGATCCACCAATACCATGACAGAACAATTTCAGGATTCCTGTGACTCTTCTTTCTTTATAGAAAAGAAAAACAAAGAACAAAAAACCGCAAAAGCCCATTTTAATCAGTTCCTTATAACCACTTATTCTGAAACAAATATTTACATACAGGCACACCTCAGAAATATCTCAGGTTCAATTCCAGACTACTGCAATAAAACGAGTTAAAGTTTTTGGTTTCCCAGTGCATATAAAAGTTATGTTTATATTACACTGTAATCTGTTAAGTGTACAATAGCATTATGTTGGGAAAAAAATGTATATATGTTAACAAAAAATATTTATTGCTAAAAAATGCTAAGCATCATCTGAGCTTTCAGCAAATCATAATCACTGATCCACAGATCACTATAACAAATGTAATAATGAAAACGTTTGAAATATTGCCAAAATTACAAGACTGTGACAAAGAGACATGAAACAAGCAAATGTCGTTAGAAAAATGGCACCAAAAGACTTGCTGGACACAGGGCTGCCACGAGCCTACAATTTGTAAAAATCACAATATCTGCGAAGTGCAATAAAACAAAGTATGCGTGGGGGCGCCTGGGTGGCTCAGTCGTTAAGCGTCTGCCTAACTTTAAGCACCTTAACGACCCTCCCCAGGGCCCTGGGATCAAGCCCCGTGTCGGGCTCCCTGCTCTGTGGGAAGCCTGCTTCTCCCTCTCCCACTCCCCCGGCTCCTACTCCCTCTCTCGCTGTGTCTCACTCTGTCATATAAATATTAAAACAAAAAACAAAAAACAAAAAAACAAAAAAAACACCAAAGTATGCCTGTACATGGTTCTTCGTTCTACTTTACTCCAGTAATATAGGCTAATATGTAAAATCTTATGTGCAAACACTATTTTCCTCAGCCTTTTTGCCTGTGGATTTCAGGCCATTTAAAGTATACTTAGACTCATTACTTACCTTACAATGTACAAATGTACTTTTGATTACATGTAGGACTGAGGAGGGAAGACTATGAATGTTTTCTAGAATGATGGATTCCTGTGTGACACAGATATGCTGAACACATCCTGTAAGAGCTGCTAAGAGCTGAACCATTGTCTGGAAATAAGGAGAGAAGTTTCATTCACAGTATGTTTTTGCTCACAAACATAGAAAGGTATCAGACATGCTGGGTACCAGGGATACAGCAGTGAACAAAATGGACACTCTATTCCTTCTTCATTGAACTTTAGTCTATCAGAACTACAAATATTGGAACAACTGGCTAGCCATTTGGTTTTAAAAAAAAACCTCAGAATCCTAACCCACACATCAAAGCATATAGCAGGTGTTCTACATATAAGCTTTGAAATTATAGGTAGGGCAAGATATCTTGATCACTTGTCTTATATAAGTTTGGTGTTTACTCAGCATTAAACTGTATAAAAAAATACAAAATTTATTTTTTTGCATTCATATCTTTAATTCTATAAATTTAATTCCAGCATTGGGTCACTACATAAAGGATATATAGCTAATTAATATCAGTATAAAAATTCTTACACTGTTTAAGCTCTTCCCCTATACCCTTTCTACTAAATTTGACATACTTGTAAAATATTCCTTAGAGTGGTCTGGATTTCTAAATTATGGCTTGATAGTCCTCTGGCTTGACTGGTTAACTCGTACATCATGTCATCAAATAATTTCACAGTCTGTGAAAAGCAAGCATGTTATAAAGAGGAGTAACAGAAAACACTAGAAAGGGAAGACATATCTTTAAAGAAAAAAAAAATCAGACAATTTTTTACTAGTAATAACCACGGGATATTATCTAGCTTAACAACTGCACGTTAATAATGTAAACAATATATATGTTTTTATATATATAAAGTAGTCATATAACACAATCTTTTAAAAGCTTCAGGTTGAAATTGATTTCTTTTCCATTTCTGTGGTTTGACTCTATTTAATAACATCCATGTAAAAAATCGCTCGAAGTTCATTTTTTGGTGCTGTAACAAAGGTAAGTGCTACTCTACACAATAAAAGTTGATGGTCTTAACCAATCAATATTCATATAGGTATTTATAAGGGTATTTTCTGGGAGTGATGATGAATTTGTGCTGAATTACCTATTTACTTGCGTTCTAAACAGTTCCCCTTTTTGATCAACTCAAAATACCATTTCCTGGGTTAGAGGTACTCTATGTGACCTTAGAACTAAGTTTTTTTGTCTGTGAAGTTAGCTACCCTAAGATCTAAATACTCAGATTTTTCTAAACAATTTAAATGGCCTAAACACTGCAAGAATAACAACACAATGTAATTAAAGAGGATATTGTTTCCCAAAGGCAAGCTAATACTCAACATCCTTATTTTAATCTATATAACAGCTGGATCTTTTTCTGGTGGTCAAGAACAAATTCTAAGATACTTTTAGATAGAGAACAATCAAATGAATATGAGTAACAGGAATTTTGATGATTATCTGCTTCAAAGCTAAACTTAAAAACCATTAAAAAATGTTTCATTTTTTGCACAAAATACCTTTAATTCCTTCAATTAAAAAAAAAAATGCCTGTGCTTTTCAGAGAAAAAGTATACCATATATATCTAAAAGGTAATAGGAACTACGTAGAGTAAAAGATAATGTAGTTGGTGAACTTAATGTTTTCTCTTGGTTATTTGATTTTACCAACATTCCAGCCTTTTTTTTTATTCTAAGTCTTCTTTAATAAAATTTGGCTCCAGGGGTGCCTAGATGTCTCAGTCAGTTGAGTGTCCAAGTCCTGGTTTTGGCTCAGGTCATGGTCTCAGGGTTGTGAGATCAAGCACTGCATAGGTCTCTGCACTCAGCAGGGAGTCTGCTTGGGATTCTCTCTCTCTCTCTCTCTCCCTGTGCCCCTCCCCCACACTCGCTCCTGCACTCTCTCTCTAAAATAAATAAATAAATCTTTTAAAAAAATTGGCTCAATTTTTCTAAACAATGAAATTTAACAATTATTATAAACTCTACAGAGAAGATCTTAGCTAACTTCCTCATTCATCCCAGATATTCATTGAATTGCTTTAAAATACAGAAGTACTTAAAATTAGCTACAAATAATGTATATTCAATTAGTAAAGGATCTATACTACTTAAAATTATAATAGTTTTTAACCACCTAATGATGACACTAACACCATCATGTTCTCACATGAGATCTATTTCTTACTAAATTATTTGTATTTCAAATATGTCTGATACATTAGGAAAAAAGGAGCCACAGTTAATAAATGATCTAAAACTGAGGCTAGATTTAAACAGCCTTTATAACATGTAGACTGATTAAGATGATAATAGGACTATACCTTTGGCAGCACTTGTGAGAAGAAAGTCTCTTCCAGCGTCAGGTGGTTCATATGAGGTAAAAACATCTCCACAATAATTTTCAGAATTTCTATAAAGCAAAATAGTAACATATTTTATAAGAATATTAAGTCATGTCAGCCAACAAAGATCACTGCCCCTTCCCCAAATGCAAGAATATGTAAGTACTACCAATCTGAAGCTTTGTACAATTTCAAAATGCCATTTTCTATGTAAAAAAAACTATGTTTATTAAAAGATTTTATTGGGACGCCTGGGTGGCGCAGTCGGTTAAGCGGCTGCCTTCAGCCCAAGTCATGATCCTAGGGTTCTGGAATCAAGTCCCACATTGGTCTCCTTGCTCAGCAGGGAGCCTGCTTCTCCCTCTGCCTGC